TCCACACAGTGCTATCTAAATCTATGCTAGTCCCAGTTTCCAGGACCTGGCTCATACCCTTGAATTTTATGATATTTCAAGTGCTCAACCAAAGACTTTTTTTAATATAGTTTGCAAAGTTTCCCACTTCATCTATTCTTCCAGGCAGTGCATTCTGATTCCAACCACTCTCTGCTTGGAATTTTATTTTTCCTCAAATCCTCACTAAACTTCTTGTCTTTCACCTTAGAATTATGCCTCCTGTTATTGACCCTTCAGTGGAACAGTTGCTTTCTGTCCACCTTGTCCAGCCCCTCATAATCTTATAAGCAGGTCCCCTCTCAGCCTTTTCTCTCCAAAGAAAACAACCTGAGCTTATCCAGCCTTTCTCCACAGCTAAACTGCTCCATCCCAGGCAACATTGCAATGAATCCCCTCTGCACCCCTTCCAGTGAAGTCACTTGGAACACAGCAGGCAGATCACAGGAAGAGCCAAAGAGCAAAGGGGAATTCAAAAGGATAGATTTTTGAGCAGAAAATAAATATCTAGGGCTCACACCCTATACTTCTGCTGCAAAATATGACTGGCTCCAACTCAGTGTGCGGAAAACATGCCACAGATGAGACAGACATTGTCCCCGAGAGAGTACACAATGGCAGGTTGAGAATGGCATGGAAACAACAGGTGCTTATTACCCAAATCAGGATTATCTGGGATTGAGAGAAGGAATTCAGAGACGGTCAGCAAACTTGGAAATGCCAGCTGCAACAAAGAGAAATGAATAGAGATTTACCTTTGAATAATGTAACAATATAGCCATCTGCAGAATGTTAGTAAATACTCCCACGAGACAACACTGGTTTCTTTTACTTCGAGTAGTACACCCACAGAATTAATCTGTCCACTTCAATCAATTTTACTGATTAATTAGATAGTGCTATAATTACAAAGCAATATACAAATAGATTGCCATTTAGTAAAATAAAACAAAAGACAAGTTGCTAGTAATTACTTTATGAGGCAGTAGATGGCACATTGGTCACACAAAAAATTATCAAACTGATGTACAGTGCTATTAGAATCTAAAACAGATTACTCAATGTCTATGTGGGGAATGCTATATATGTGGTGTTTTTATTGTGCACCAGCCTTCACTGTGATTGTACCCATGCTTCGAAGCAAAGATTAGTGGAATTCAAGTTGCACTCCAGAGAGTTGAGCAGAAAATCAAAGCTGACACACTTGGAGGGAGAGTTGTACTGTCAGAAGCGCTGCACTGTGGATGAAAAGATACACCGAGGTCCAACCTCAGTTGAATATAAAAGATCTCATGACACTACTTTGAAGAGGAGCAAGAATACCATGCTTATTTGACATATTCAGAATGCTGATTTAGTTACTATCTCCCATTAAACGCATTTGAAAACTGAAATCAATGTTGCTTACTTCAATGTCCAGATGCTGTAATTACTGAATCTGACTTAACCCTTGTTTTAAGTGACCAATTATTTGGATAAAATCATGAGATCATTTCTCATAAGCAACATGACCCTTACATGATGCACTGCTAGTGGATCTCCTGTGGCATTGCTCATGGTGAACGGGAAATACAGAGTTGGTTTTAACAAGGAGGGAGGGAGGGAGAGCGAGAGAGCGAGAGAGAGAGAAAGCACTGGCTCCTACATTCCTTTGCATGTCTGGCTCCCCCCTCATAACGACAAACTGTGCATCATCACAGTGTCTTTGCAAACTTGGACATACAATTCTCTATTTCTTTATTCGAGTCACTAACCTAGATGGTGAAAAGGTGAGGTCCTGGAATAGATACTGGCAAATATTCCCTTTATCAAAAGTGCCCCACCTCCAACTTCCTAATAATTTACCAACCTATGTTTGGAGATTAATTCAAATTTTATGTGATTTCAACATCTGTCATGCAGAGTCTTACCAACATCCAAAAACTGCTATATTATCTCCTAAAAATGGAAAATATCTACCCTTCACAAATCCATGCTGACTCTTCAATCAGAGCTTAACGAGAGAAACTCGCAGTTATCCTGCCTCTGGTGTCAGATCTCAGCATCTTCCTCACAAATTATGGTAAACTAACAAATTCTGTAAATTACTGAGTCTATTCCTCCCTCACTTCTTCAGGAATGGATCAGGTTTTACAAATTCTCCACTCCAGAGGAAAAAGGTTAAATGGAACAGCAGATTTTAGTGGCAGGGAAACTTTATAAGTATATGCAGCTGCAGAAAGATATACTTTGGGAGGGTTTAAAGCTTCAGAACTCTCAAGGGACTGCACAGAAAATGAGTGTCAGACTGCAGTTAATGAGCTCCTTAAATGACACTGTAATAGCTACCTCCCAGTATTCCTACCTATACTTTATTAGTGGCTCAGGAAATAGCAGGAGAAGTAGCAGTATTGATTGACATAAAAGTAGTTTGGGCACCCTGAGATCATGAGTTGACCACCAACTGCATATATTTAAGTGATCTGTCTTTTTCCAATGGGATGAGTTGGCTTTCAAATTGACCTCTCCTTAAAAATGACAACGGATGTACCAGAAGCAGGCTATTTACTGCCATTTTTTGTTGCACATTTCCATGCATTCTTAGGCATAACCAGGAAGTAGTCAGGTGAAAACGAGCCCTCCACCTTCTCACATTCCCCTGAGCTCACCCCGCCCAACACATTTAAATAATTAACTAACACTGAGTTGATATGGTTATTAATCCAATTGAGACCAATAATAGGTTGCCCCTACCAGTGCATAGTTAGTACATTCAGTTGGGTGAAATAGGGCAGCCTGTTTTTATTTTAAATGAGTTGGGTGGGAAGGAAGAGGTGGCACTAACTTGACAGAGAGAGAGAGAGAGAGAGAGAGGGTGCTCTTTGCACACATAGTACTCCCTCTTCTCCCAACCCACCTACTGTCCAAACATCTTCCCCCAACTCCACTTTCCCCAGGTGAACAAAATTTTGCTGCTTAAACTACCTCAATCCAAAATCCATTGGACCTTCTTCTTGTTCCTTCTTACTAATCTGGCAGCACTCAATACTGAGCTCTTGGCACTGACAGGATGGGTAGAACTGCAGGCCAAGTAGATTGGCAGTCATTAGTGGAGCTATTTTAATCAGTGCCAACATGACTCACATCTGGGGGCCAGTGGGATTGAATCTCTACCTATGGCCTAGAGGAAGGGTCACTACCACTGTGCCATCAGAGCCCTTAATTATTGGTATTCCAGTTTATTACAAAAGTACTAAAGATATCAATCAATCATTGGTATCACTCTGTGCAGACTGTGTCTGATTCTAATGCATGACCTATTGAGTAGGACTGAAGAGCAAATTTTCTGAAAAGCATGGTGAGATTCTAATTCAGGACCACTTCCTTAGAGAGAGAGAGAGACACACACGACTGGTGGTGGTTTAATCTGAGGGTCAAGTGAGGGGAGAGGTTGAGAAGGACAGTCCTTCATGGTAACCTCAATGGATGCAGGAAATTAACTCACACTATTGGTGTCACTGTGCATCACAAACCAGCTGTCCAGCCAACCGAGCTAACCATGGACAGAAATATAAATGCATTGGCTAGAACAGCAGGTCAGCTGCGGAGAATTCTATACTGAGTACCTCACCTCTAATCTCCCCAAAGCCTGTCCACTATCTAGGTACACTATTAGGTGCAATTCAGGAGAGAAATGAAATAGGCTCCACTTTCCTGGATGAATGCAACAACAATTAAAATGTTCAAAACCATCCAGGACAAAGCAGCCCAGTTGATTGGTACCTCAACCACCACTTTAAACACCCTTCAGCAGCAGTATGGGAGCACGGTATACCACATTCAAGATGCACTGCAGCAACTCACCAAGTTCTCCTTTCACAACATCTTTCAAACTCACCATCTGGAAGCGCAAGAGTAGCAGATGCACAGAAACAATGACCATCCACAAGTCCTGCTCCAGATCACTTACTGTCCTAATTTGGAAATTATAATCGTCATTGCTTTTCTGTTACTGGATCAAAACCCTAGCTTTTCCTTCCAAAAAACAACTGTAGTTTCGCCTTCACTGTATGGACTATAGCAGTTCACAAGCAGCTCACCACCAACTTCTCAAGGGCAATTAGAAATGACAAATAAATGCTGGTCTAGCCACATCCCATGAAAGAATAAAAAACATACACTTTAAAGAGCAAACAAAATTACTACTTGAAAGGTAAGTTTCAATTTACTTACCGTGGAGCCAGAAGGAACAAGCTTCTATGTTCTGACATTCACCTTTCTCCCTCCTGATTGTCTCTCACTCCTTCCACTCATCCCCACATTCCCATCATTATCTTTGTGTCAAGCTGATTTATACTCCTTTCACCCCAGGATCCTTGTGTTATTCCTGGAGTGTTGACTGGAATCTACAAATCATCAATATTAAACAGACAGGCTGGTAGACTAACCAATTGCGCATGGTCCTGTCTCTGGCCTGATTCAGATGCATGCATCATCCACTGTACCATCATTATGCTCCAACTTAGGTGCAACCCAATTATAATGACCTGATATTTTGGCAATCCAGCACCAAAACAATATAATCCAAGCCATTGAAAATTGAAAGTATATTTTTAAGGACAGGGGCCTCATTGTAACTATGTGAATTCATAGTCACTTTGAAAATGGTGCAAACAATCTTTATACTGGCAATTTTATTTCAAATCAAATACAAATATACAAGACATCAAGTGTTAAAGTCACTATCTTCTTGCAACTTTGTAAAATGGAGATCATATTGAATTCAATGGAGGAAAATAACTTCCACATCTAATTCATAACTTAGTAATTACAATTAATATGGATTGAATACAAATAGGCAGACGTTTTGGCATAATATTGTTCATAAATTAGTGGGTAAATATATACAAACAGTTAACAATTGTTATTTAAGTTAGGGTTCTCTTAATCAAAGAAATTAATGCTGATTTACAATTTCCTATGGGTCTAAATGATGTACTTACTTTGTGATGGAAATGCTGTGTAGTGACAGCAAGAACCTCAATGCTAAGGCTTGCTCTTTGTAGTTGATCATGAAGAGATTGTAGCTGCTTGGCCTGCTTCTTACATTTGTCCTTGAGACGCTGGACAGTCTGCCGTTCAGTCTCTCGAGACTGGAGGTCAGTCTTTGTGGAAAATCCATTTCTTGTAACACCTGCAGCACCTCTTAGCTTGCCTATCCCTTGGGGAGAGGTGAAACAAATATTAGAGATTGTAGACAAAAGTTTCCATCAAGGTTAAAAATCAAACCCGTAACTAATGCTTTTAAGCATAATCATGTTTCTTTTTTCTGCATCCTCCAGCATTGGACAGACAAGGTTTCACTAATAATTACATCCAATTAGGTAAGATTAAATGTCAGTGGTCATTAAAACTGAAGTCGTTTCTACAGAGAATATAATTGATTTTATTGGTCACCGTCTGTTAAAGACTATACAGATCTCAAGTCTCCAGCTGAGCAAGATAAGGCAAATAAACTGGCTGAGGTGAAAATGTGATTTAATTGCAGTACTCACATACTTAGTTATTTAGGGAAGATTAAACTCATGAATAGGCATACTCATCTTCCAAAGCAAATAGTACAAAGTGGAACGAAGAGTAAATGACTTCAAAGCCCTCAGCATCTCAGATGTCTGACAGTATAAACTGTATCCTCTGTGAAGTATTTTTATTCAGAATCTACTTGCATCAGATAAAGTTATACTTCTTAAAGTCTAACATTTCTCAATCTTTGGATGAGGATAAGACTAGATGAAAATGACAACATTTATCAGATGAAATTCCACTTCAGCCAACTGCCTTGCGCCTGTAAAATGGGTGATGCAGGATTGAGTTATTTTTCAATAGTGTTGATTTCATAACAAAAGAGGAAATAAATTATAATTTGCCTAATTGTGGTTAGTCGTAAACAACCTTCTTTAGGCTCTTTGTGTAAGAATAGCCATATAGCCCACATCAAAAACAAGGTCATAAATTTATCATTTTATGGCTCAAGCTAATGTAAACTTAGCCTAAGAGATGTGAAAAAACTTTGAGGCAAATAGTTTTTACCAAAAAAGACAGCTATGTTTTAAAATAGTTTAATTGTACAACTATTAGTTTTGCATGATTATTTTGAGCTTTATGTTTTGCTGTATCTTGCAAATGTGCTTTGTGACCTGTGTAAACACCACAGTTATTATGAAGTCACACATGGCTTTTATAGTTAAAGGATATTGGAATTTTTCAGAATGTGGGGATATTTGGGATGATAGTTGATCACTAGGGTGTACCACTGCATACTCTTAAGCTGATGCATGAATTACTCTACTCGTGATGCATTGTCTTGGTAGAGATCTATGTCATTATTAAGCTAGTGGTATAGGGGAGGCTTTGGCCTAGTGGTATAGGGAAGGTAATGGCCTAGTGGTATTACCACTGGACTGTTAATCCAGAGATCCAGATAACATTCTGGGGAGCCAGGTTTGAATCCTGCCACAGCAGATGGTGAAATTTGAATTCAATAAAATATCTGGAATTAAGAATTTAATGATAACCATGATCCATTGCTGTTTGTCAGGAAAAACCCACCTGGTTCACTAATGTCCTTTAGGGAAGGAAACTGCCATCCTTACCTGGTCTGGCCTACATGTGACTCCAGACCCACAGCAATTAGTTGACTCTGAACTGCCCTCTGGGCAATTAGGGATGGACAATAAATGCTGCATAGCCAGTGACGTCCTCATCCCATTAACGAATTAAGGGGAAAAAAGCTAAGAGGAAATTCAGTCATAAAAGGGATATTTCAAGGATCAAATCAGGACATAGCAGGAAGTGATATCCGTAAGTTGACCATCACTTTGAAAAAAATAAGTTAGGTATTGAGCACACATTACCTAGCCAGTCAGATATTGATTGTATGCCCTTTATGCTTTGGCAAACCAAATTATTTTTATGATGTCTCCAATCATGTACAGGTGTAGTGGCTAGCAAGGATTAATAAGCAGTGATTATAACACAGAAAAGACCAAAGACAGCTTCAGTCAAATAGAAGTAAACAATGAAGATGTGTTCAGTCAGCCAGAAAATGTCAGCTGGTGTCCTGAAGTCGATCCATTAAAAAAAATTGCTTTCATTAAGTATCACTTCTTTTGTACTTAGTTTCATCAACTTAATAAATTCTTTGAAACATGCAGACACGTACTTGTACCTGGCATGATCTTGCAACTAATCAACGCTCCCACATTGGAGAAGTGATCGCTTAGAAGTATCATCGCTGGACTATTAATCCAGAGACCCAGATAATGTTATGGAGACACTGGTTCAAATGTCATATGGCTGGATGTTGGTATTTGAACTTGACAGAATTCTGGAATTAAGAATCTAATGATGACCATGAAACTGTTGTTGATTGTTGGGAAAAACCCATCTAGTTCACTAATATCCTCCAAAGTAGGTCATTCTTGCCACGTCTGAACTAAATGTGATTCCAGATGAGGTTGACTCTTAATTGCAGCCCAGGCAATTAGGGATTGGGCAATAAACGCTGGCCCAGCCAGCATCGCAGACAGAGTTTTAAAAAAAGTAAACCTTTTAAATCATTCCTCTCCAAATTAAAGTTATAATGATCCATAATGCTTATCATGAATCGCGGAAAGTTGCACTGTGTTCTGTCACGGCCATCCCGGGTCAGACATGAGCCAGATGCCACATTGGCACATTTGTGAATATGCCTGAGACAATGAACAGCACATCAGCTATAGCACTCTAAAATGAGAAATGGCTCAAACATCTGTTACGCATGTAATGCCCAGTTGCCTTTATATCTCAGTATACTTTATTTGTGTAAAGCTTACACAACAATCCCACTTTGAACAGCTGCAAGTCAATATGTCTAAGAATTTTTGTTTGCTGATTTGTTCAGTTTGGACTTTCTCATTCTATTCATAATAGATCCCTTGTTCTGTTTTGATACAAAAAATGAACTTTTTCATTACTTTCACATTATTTATCAATACTAAGCAGTGCTTTAATCTGTAGACTAAACTAGGTAGGTACGACTTTATATTGCACCCATAGGCAGTATCTTGGGAGTGAGGGTAACAAGGTGTAGAGCTGGATGAACACAGCAGGCCAAGCAGCAGAGGAGCAGGAAGGCTGACGTTTCGGGTCTAGACCCTTCTTCAAAAATGGGGGAGGGGAAGGGGGTTCTGAAATAAATAGGGAGAGAGGGGGAGGCAGATAGAAGATGGATAGAGGAGAAGATAGGTGGAGAGGAGACAGACAGATCAAAGAGGCGGGGATGGAGCCAGTAGATGTGAGTGTAGGTGGGGAGTTACGGAGGGGATAGGTCAGTCCAGGGAGGACGGACAGGTTAAGGGGGTGGGATGAGGTTAGTCGGTAGGAGATGGGTGTGGGGCTTGAGGTGGGAGGAGGGGATAGGTGGGAGGAAGGACAGGTTAGGGAGGCGGGGATGAGCTGGGCTGGTTTTGGGATGCAGTGGGGGGAGGGGAGATTTTGAAGCTTGTGAAGTCCACATTGATACCATTGGGCTGCAGGGTTCCCAAGCGGAATATGAGTTGCTGTTCCTGCAACCTTCTGGTGGCATTGTTGTGGCACTGCAGGAGGCCCAGGATGGACATGTCATCTAAGGAATGGGAGGGGAAGTTGAAATGGTTCACGACTGGGAGGTGCAGTTGTTTAGTGCAAACCGAGCGTAGGTGTTCTGCAAAGCGGTCCCCAAGCCTCCGCTTGGTTTCCCTGATGTAGAGGAGGCCACAACGGGAACAGCGGATGCAGTATACCACATTAGCAGATGTGCAGGTGAACATCTGTTTGATGTGGAATGTCTTCTTGGGGCCTGGGATGGGGGTGAGGGGGGAGGTGTAGGGGCAGGTGTAGCACTTCCTGCGGTTGCAGGGAAAAGTGCCAGGTGTGGTGGGGCTAGAGGGGAGTGTGGAGCGGACAAGGGAGTCACGGAGAGAGTGGTCCCTCTGGAAAGCAGATAAGGGTGGGGAGGGAAAAATGTCTTTGGTGGTGGGGTCGGATTGCAGATGGCGGAAGTGTCGGAGGATGATGCGTTGGATCTGGAGGTTGGTGGGGTGGTACCTGAGGACGAATGGGATTCTGCTTTGGTTGTTATTGCGGGGCGGGGGTGTGAGGGATGAGTTGCGAGAAATGCGGGAGACACGGTCGAAGATGTTCTCGACCACTGAGGTGGGGAAGTTGCGGTCCTTAAAAAATGAGGACATCTGAGATGTACGGGACTGGAATGCCTTGTCCTGGGAGCAGATGCGGCGGAAGCGAAGGAATTGGGAATAGGGGATGGCATTTTCGCAGGAAGGTGGGTGGGAGGACGTGTATTCTAGGTAGCTGTGGAAGTCGGTGGGCTTGAAATGGATATCGGTTTCTAGGTGGTTGCCAGAGATGGAAACAGAGAGGTCCAGGAAGGAGAGAGAGGTATTAGAGATGGTCCAGGTGAACTTAAGGTTGGGGTGGAAGTCATTGGTGAAGTGGATGAACTGTTCGAGCTCCTCGTGGGAGCATGAGGCGGCACCGATACAGTCATCAATGTAACGGAGGAAGAGGTGGGGTTTAGGGCCAGTGTAGCTACGGAAGAGGGATTGTTCCATGTAACCTACAAAGAGGCAGGCATAGCTTGGGCCCATGCGGGTACCTATGGCCACCCCCTTTGTCTGTAGGAAGTGGGAGGAATTGAAAGAGAAGTTGTTGAGGGTGAGGACAAGTTCGGCTAAGCGGATGAGGGTGTTAGTGGAGGGGGACTGGTCGGGCCTGCGGGATAGGAAGAAGTGGAGGGCCTTTAGGCCATCTGTGTGGGGAATGCAGGTGTATAGGAACTGGACATCGATGGTAAAGATGAGGTGTTGGGGATCGGGGAATTGGAAGTTCTGGAGGAGGTGGAGGGCGTGGGTGGTATCACGGACGTAGGTGGGGAGTTCCTGGATCAAGGGGGAGAAAATGCAGTCGAGATAGGTGGAGATAAGTTCGGTGGGGCAGGAGCAGACGGAGACAATGGGTCGACCGGGGCAGTCAGGTTTGTGGATTTTGGGAAGGAGATAGAAGCGGGCAGTGCGGGGTTGGGGAATGATGAGGTTGGGGGCTATGGGTGGAAGGTCACCTGAGGTGATGAAGTTGTGGATGGTTTGGGAGATGATGGTTTGGTGGTCAGGGGTGGGGTCATGA